GGTCCCTATAGCACCGCCACGGCCCCCGCGGGGATGGGTCCTATAGCCACGGCCCCCTGCAGTGCTGGTCCCTATAGCTGCAGCCTCCTGCAGGGATGGTCCCTATAGCCACGACCCCTATAGCATCGCCACGACCCCCCCGCAGGGACGGTCCCTATAGCCGCGGCGCCCTGCGGTGCTGGTCCCTATAGCCATGGCTCTCCGTGGGGATGGTCCCTATAGCACTGCCACAGCCCTCTGCGGTGCTGGTCCCTATAGCCATGGCTCTCCGCGGGGATGGTCCCTATAGCACTGCCAGGACCCCCTGCGGTGCTGGTCCCTATAGCTATGGCCCCCCACGGTGCTGGTCCCTATAGCACTGCTGTTCTCCCCCAGTGTTGGTCTCTCTCTGCCCCCCCCTCCATCCCCAGCCCTCTGCACTGCCGGGGACCCCCTCGTCCCCCATGGTCCCTGTCATCCCCCCCAGGCCCCAGCGCTGCCCCCATCGTGGCCCTCCTTGTCCCAGGCCTCCCCCTTTCCCCTCCTTTCCGCAGCAGCTCCCCCGGCCGGCGCTTCCCGCGCGGAGCCAGCGCTGCCACTTCCCGCGCGTCACGGGCGCCGCGGTGCAGCGCCTCGCTGCTTCACCCCCGCCTTTTCGGTTAAACCCGGCGCTGCTTTTGGTTTCTTTGGCCGGATGTTTATGGGAAATCACCCCAACTTTTCCCGTTACTGTCAGGCTGTCGGTGCCGCCAGCCCCCGGATTGTGACGAAGCCGCTCGGGGCCGTGCGGGGCACCCATCACCCGAAGCGATGGGATCAGGCACGCGGCGTCACACGGACGTGGGGAAACTGCTGGGATGTGGCTCGTGTCACGTAGGGAACCTTCAAAGGACGTGGGAGCTGGGGGCACACGGGAAAACCCACAGGGAAACAGGAAAAGAGGCGCTGCGAGAGGAGACCGTTTTGGGGATGCGGAGGACTGCTCTGCCTTCCTGGTGGGATCAAACACCAAACAGCAGGAAAAGGTGGCAAATCCATCCCGACCCGGCTCCAGCACGCGCAGAGCGGCCGCCTGCGCTGGCGCCTCCAGCCCGGAGCAGCTGGGGTGGCCACAGGAAGGAAGTTTCCACAATGGCTCTTTGTCCGTGCAGAGCGAACCCGGCCGGCACCGCCGCGGCCCAGGCCTGGAGGATGCTCCCTGCTCCGTGCCAGGATCTCCGGAGAGGAGGAGAGGGGCCAGCGCCCGGCCAGCAACGCGACTCCGTGCAAAGGGCGCCGGAATCATCACGGCGCTGCAACCCCGGCTCCCACCCGGGGCGGTGACGTCGCCCCGGCCACGGCAGCGCGGTGTCACCACGACGTCACGACGGTGACGCGCCAGGATTCCCTCCCCACGAGGCTAAAGGACGCGGTCTTGACCCCAGGTGAGCACGGAGAGGTGCGAGGCAGGAAAGCTGGGGGTGAGAACCCGCGCGTGACGCGGGCCGGGCGGATTCCGGGCTCCGGCAGGAGGCAGCCCCGGTGCCGGGCGCTTCTCCCGGCCTGCAACACACCGGGAAGCGGATTCTGTGCAGCAGGAGCACCAGGGACACGGCCCTGCCGGGCGCTGCGGTCCGGCCAGAACAGCGACGTGTTCTTGGCACGCGGCTGGCACACGGCGGCCCCGCCCGCGCGCCG